GTGTATTTTATATGGTAACTGGGGCTACTCGCAAACTGGCTATATTTAAAGTTATAATAGTTTTTAATTTTTCACTCTCCGTTTTTCTGCAGACAGCAACGGAAATGCATAAACAGATTAACACAAAAGTTCATCCTAACTTCTAGGCAAACCAGAAATTTCTTTCCTTTACAACATCTTTTAAATTTACAATATTGAAGTTTTATTTTATTTCAAATTGTAAATCTTTGACTAATTTGCGGTTTTTAGAATTGTTTATAATGATTTTTTTGTGTTGGTATGTGGCTGAGACTTCTGGTTGTCTTGGGTAATTTTTAATAGCTTGTTTGTGAAATAAATTTGAGGAGTAAAAGACTTTTTTCTGTTGAATAGCTCACTGGTTAAAACTTTTGAATTATGATAGTCTTAACAGAAGCTTCTTTAAAAAACCTGTTTTATTTGGACAACACCGAGGGAATGAGTGCCATCAGCCCCATTCATCAAGTACTGCAATCGCCGAACCAGCTTTAGCTATGAAACTTTCATGTCGTGAAAAGGTTTGACTGTTCTGGTAAGCACCATATCGGCACTTTTTCGTTCAGCGACGTAGTGGGCATTTCCAGAAGCTTAGGATCTGACACAGCACCAAACACAGTCGCCTGAAATTTTGCGGACAATACAGCTTTGACGACCTTGTGCCTGAATTAGTGATAAGACCTGACCTGACAAAACAGGCTCTTGAATATTTTGACCGGGTTCACTAAACTCTCGTTGCCCTTCGTCGTCGTCGTCGGAACTCCCCGGCTCGTTGTTTTATAGGAACAGCCGATTCCACCATCGTGCAGATGACGATTTTTAGGTTAATTTATTAATCCGTTCCCACGTTTAGGTTACCAATGACTTATTTTCTTCCTAAACCCCGACAGCCAATCTCTATCTATCGGTGTTTTTATTACGTTGACGCCTCTAGAGTTCATAAACACCTAGTATTCTAGTCTAAAAAATATTTGGAGCAGATTCTCTAAATAGTGTCCTTTCAGGTTGAAAAGGGCGCTTAATATTTTCATTTGTCAATTCATCAATTTGTTAAGGCATTTTTGCATGATCTACAGTACTTTAGACGTGAGGAAAGTGGTGTTTGAAACTTTTTGTTTAGTTGGTTACGAGTGCGTAGGTGCAGCAATTAAGACAAAGAATGATAGTGACTTACTGTAGATTTATCTTAAAATCTTTTTTTTTTTTCAAACAACTGCTTCGCAAGCAGCTCATTTAGCACAAGCGTTAAAATTATATTTTGGTATGGTGAGGTATGACTTGTCAAAAAAATTTTTTTTCAAGGTCGCATTTTTTAACTACATTTCTAAGTGGTAGTCTGTAAATTTGATACTTTGATTCCAACTTCTTAATTCGTGCTTAACACTCTGGAAGAGGCGTTACCTTCTTAGCAATACCGTTCACAGAACAACTATCAAAAAAAGTCATTTCCTCTGTTCAACTACTTTACAACTTTTTCATCGCATAGGCCAATCCTCTTTATCTTTGTATTATTACATGTTTATTATTGTGAAATGTCATAAATTTAATTCTTTAGCAGTTGCAGACTAGACTGGCAGAAGGTAAGCGTTGTCGGTATGTCTGAAGATCAACAAATGAAGAGGTTGTCACTTATTGATTGATAAAACAATTTTGGTTTTGATTGTGTTCCTCACCAATTTGTTAACTCTCAAGAGGAGTTAGGGAAGTCGTTGGAGCGGTGCCAAAACAGTGATTATGTATATGAAACATATATGTTTCCATAAGTTGAGCATAGTGTCGCTCTAGTTGATGCTTTTGTTTTGTACTAATAAACATTTAGTTCTAGACTATTTCTGTTAAATTTGTTACTCGATGTATGTGTAATCATATGTTGATGGTTTTTTTGAACAAAGCATATAATTCTTTACTGGTCGTGTAAATGTCAGCTCATTTTTCGTCAGGATTTTTTGGTTATTTTTTCAATTGTCAAATTCTTTATTCAAAAATGCAGTGTCAGTCTTTGTTACTTGTTTTCGTTATTTGATTGCTTTTACAGGTAATAAGTAGAAAAGTGATTGAAAGAGTATCTGTGACTTGGGATATATGTATTAGTTTACTAGTTTTAGGTTTCCAGAGTCGTATCATCATTTCAATATGGAACCAGAAGATTCATTCGATTACCTTTTCAAAATTGTATTGATTGGAGATATGGGCGTTGGTAAAACTTGCATTGTTCAGAGGTAAATTTTGTGCAATACTTTCCTGTTATACTTTTGAGCTCTGCATATATATATATATATA